CCATGCAATTAAACCATTATATATATATATATATATATATATATATATATATATATAATGGTTTAATTGCATGGCATTTACTGTTTCAAAAGAGATACCACCAAGAAATTTGATCAGACTGGGCAAAAAGCAATACATAAAACTAAAACTTAGTCTCTGCTAAAATGTTTCATCACAAATATTGAGTGAAACTAGCAAATAAAAAATCTATGTTGCTGTCCTTTACCAAATTGTTATTACATTTTTGTAGGCATAATGGGAAAATAATATGACATTCTCCTACATGTTACAGTAATTGGCATCTCCTAAGAATCTCAAAAGAATTTTTGCACAAGTCCTGTTGTTACAAAGTCAAACAGTCCTCGGAGTGGGGAATGAGATTGATTATAGGAAAGACAGAAAGAAGACTCAGAGACAAAAGTTAGAAATCAGGAGGGCTGTGGGTCTATGCCACACCAGCCACCAATGCATTTCTCTTAGCCTCTATATACTTTTCAGTATTGTTAGAAACAAAGTCTCAACATGTTGGCAGTCAAGTACATGGCTTGAACCTGAAAATAGATCCCAGACAGAGTTATTAAATTAACAGGCTGGCAATCCAAGGAGAGGTAAGATTCTGCACAGAGCCTTACCAACCTAAGACAGAAGTACATTGCTTTTGATAATGCATATTCTGTGACAAGTAAGGAAGGCTTTCTTGTTAGAGTGACCTAAGACAGGCTCAGTCTTGTTAATGAAATAAAAAAGGGGGAGAGGTGGAGAGCCTTTGGGGCTGCTTGGCAAGAATCTGACATGGACCAAGCACAAGGGAATGGGCTGTTGGCAGGAATATGACATTGGCCAAAGACGACGAAGTAGGCTTCAGGCAGGAATCTGACATTAGGCTCGAACAAAGAAGTAATTTCAGATAGGAATCTAAATCTTAGGCTAGAACAAAGAAATAATCTCAGGCAAGAACCTAAATATTAGGCTAGAATAAAGAAGTAATTTCAGACAAGAATGTAAATTTCAGGCTAGAACAAGGAAGTAGGCTTTAGATATGAAAATGACCTTGGGCTAGGACAAAGAAATAGACTCAGATACTTTGGTCATCCTGATAAGCCCTTAGAAACAATGATCACGGGAGTGTTCATGTAATTGGGTCTAATGCCTTGCTTTTTCTTTGACTATTTGTGTTTATTGTCTTGATTGTTCCTTGACAATTTGCTTCTATTGTATTGCTAGACTTTTAACATAGAACTGACCTTAATACATGCATCTAATCACAATGGTATAAAAACATAAAGAAGGGGGAATGGGATAGGGGGTTCTAGGGATGGGAATGGGGGAAAGGGATGACATCTGAAATGTAAATAAATAAAATACCCAATAAAAAAAAAAAGAAACAAAGTCTCCAGCTAGTAGAGATGATGGATGAAGTACTTAGGATATCTTTACCCAACCAGAGGCCTCCCTGTTCCTTCCACCAAGATTAAGAGAATGTTCAATCCTTTGCCTTGAGCTTCAAGTGTAGCTCCTCTTATTGTTCCATGCATCAGACAGCAAGGAAGTCTGCCAGCAGACCTTGACCTGCCTTGACACTGCCTGACAGTCAGACTTTTACAAAAGCAGGCAAAAATGTTCCCCTATAAATTATTCCAATGTGTTTCTAATGGTGTCCTTAAGTACCATGAGACTTAGAGGATAAAAATTTATTTTCTCAGTTTTAAAGGCTAAAATCTGAAATAACTCTTGCAGTGGGATAGATTCATGCTGAGGACTCTGAAGAGAATCTGTGGCATGTACCTTCTAGATTCTGAGAGTTTATTGGCCTATGTGGATGCTCTTTCATTTTTAAAACATCACTTCAATCAGTCATCATTTGCATATGGCATTTCTCTGAGTGTGCCTATCTCTATTCCTTAATTTCACACTATAGACTACTTTAATATTAATATCCTTATTTATAAATAAGATCACAGGCTGAGGTAGAGGAATAAGGATTCATCCCACTGTTTTCTAGGGGCAAGCAAAGGAAACATAGTCATATACAGTCTAAAGTCATATCTGTGTGTGTTGTAACAATTTTGTTCTCTAGCCTTATATTTTGAAAACCTCTCTGAAAACCTTCATTACTCACTATGATACTGAAGTTCTATAAGATTCCTTCCTGTACCTACTAGCTAACTCCTATTATTTCATGCTATGGCTTATGCCTATTTAAGGTAAGTCTGTACTTTCCTACACAGGAATGTGCTGATGTTGGAAACAATAAGTGGGATACTAATATGCCCATGTAGAAAGCAAACACTACCACGCTACTGAATGGCAGGCACTTTTCAGAGGCAACTGCATTATATAGATGCGAAAAAAAACATATTTCTCTTTCAAAGAAGAGGAATCTATTTTTGACAGTCCAGGGGATATGAAATAGTTTATCAGGTCAAAGCCAACATTCCCCCTCACTAGTTTCCATTTCACTACTCAGGTTTTCTATACTCTCCCTCCTTAAAGTGTTTACTTCAACCAATATACTTACTGAAGTTGCACGTTCAGTCTTATTTGCAATTTTATTGGAAAATATTGGAAATGATTTTGTATAGGGTCACAGTATATAGGAGATATATGACTGCAAACATTGCAGAGCTATGTTTGTCATTTGTCCCAAAGTAATATGAGACAAAGAAGGTACATACTGGGCTAGAGAGATGACTCAGTGGTTAAAAGCTCATGTTGTTTTTACAGAAGACTCAGATAGGATACTCAGCATCCACAGTGGGGTACAAAACCATCTACAACTCCAGTTTCAGGTATCTGATTTTCTCATCTGATGTCTGTGTGGATTCCAGGCACATACATAGTGCACAGATAGTCTTAACATTCAAATAATAAAGTAAAATAAATAACAAGTAGGGATCTACATTCAATGTGCATTGTTTTCCTTGTTTTACAAAAGAGACTGGACCAAGCACAAATCTGTCAACATGATTTTAAAACTGAAAATCTTGCATAAACAGAGTTAATCTGTAGGTATTGCATGAAGACAACATGGTCAAAATTGATTGAGACTGAAACTCAAAGAATGTAAAAAGAAGAGATATATAATACACTTATCCTTACAGTTCATTATAGATTGTACAGATTTCTAACACACACACACACACACACACACAGAAATATGATTATTGTTTTGGACTAAAGTAGACCTAAGGTTGAACTATGTCTCAATGGAAAAGCCCGTTACCAGCATGAGTGACAACCTATGTTCAATCTCAGGTACTCAAGAAAAACAAAAATTCAAGTATAGGAAAAGTTTCAAGGTTAAAAAGACCATATTTATTTTACTATGAATAAAATATACAAGAAAATATTAAAATTATTTAATTTTTAAATCTTCTTAGCAGATTCTTCAATATTGGAGTATTAATGATAATGATGAAATTAATACTCTTCTCTGATACAAAAATGTCTGCTTCTTCTTTACTAATACTATTTTCTTTATAATTTAATTCAAAATTCACTAAAATAATTTACATCTGAAATAAAACATTTCTGTTTCAAAATCTGAAATACTAACTTGAATCATTCTGCTTTTGTTTAGTCTTCCAATATATACAAATAATCTGCATTGAAATGATCTGTTGATTCTGAGATAAATATTGTTAGCTAAATTAGAAGAGATCAAGACAGAAGAAGAGTCTAAGGGTCATCATGAATACAGCCCCAATACTGAGAACAGAGAATCAGAGATTCTGAAGGGAAGATTTCTTTCTGAATTCTACTAGTGTTCTAGCATTTTATTTTAATAAACACAAGGTAAAAGTTCTGAGTCAATCTCCAAATATAAGAGAGATTTCTTCAAGTAAATGCATTTCCCCTTTGCTAGAACTTGCTACAATTATAATCTGTCACAATCTGCTGAGTTCAGAAATTAAAACAAGTTGCTAATATGATCAAAATGTCTTTATTAATGATAACTAATTGAAACATGTAGGTATAAGTATATACATATTTTAATGGAATAATATTTAGTAAAATAATGAGGTCCTGAATTAGACCTCTTTTTAGTTCTAATCAGACAACAGGAAGGTATAAATGGGAGGGTTTTGACAGAGGAAGGGGGAAACTATCAAGTTTATATTGAAATCACAAAATTCAATTAAAATAAATAAAAACGAACTGGAAGAGTTAAACCTGATCAGGCTTTGAATAGTAGATGTGCTTATATAGATAGACAGTTATCAAGAGGAAACTTGTGAAGTCAACAAGAAGAAGGGCAGAAAATACAATCACATCCACAAGTGGTGTTGGGACAGAAATGCTGGAAAGCCAGAGACACACAGCATCAGATATGAACAAATTCCAAGGGACATCAAAAATATTTGTATTTTATGCTTTTTCCTACTACATAAAATCAACTCAACAAAAGTATGTTTACATGGTCTCTTTATTATATGAAATTATAGTCCCCATTCCCTAAGAAACTGATATACTAAACTATAAAAACTAATATTCTATTGATATCTAATTTAATGCTAAATATGAAAAAAATATTGGAGACCTCATTTACTTTACTTTCTATCATCTGATGCCACTTTCTTTTTCCATAACTTTTTCATGGCATTTTTCACCTCTGCATTCCTCAGAGTGTAAATCAGAGGATTGAGCAAAGGTGTCCCAATTGAATAAAATATAGATATCATCTTATCCATAGGAAATGTTGTTGCGGGGCGTGTGTATATAAAGATGCAAGGTCCAAAGAACAGGATGACCACAATAATGTGAGATATGCAGGTGGATAGGGCTTTCCTCCTCCCTTCAGCACTGTGGTTTCTTAGGGAATGAAGAATAATGACATAGGAGAGCATCAGCACAAGGAAACTCACTGTACAAATGGCTCCACTGTTGGATACCAGAAGCAGGTTAATCATATATGTGTCTGAACAGGCAAGTTTCAATAGTGGCTGCAAGTCACAGAAAAAGTGATCAATCACATTGGGACCACAGAAGGGTAAACTCAAGGCCAGAAATATCTGAACTAAAGAATGCACACAGGATCCCACCCAGGCTATGGCCACCAGCATCCCACAGACCCGGCGGCTCATGATAGTCATATAGTGCAGGGGCTTACAGATGGCCACATAGCGGTCAACAGCCATGAGGATGAGGATAAAGACCTCCAGACAGCCAAAGAAATGGAATGTAAAGACTTGGATTATGCACTCAGTGAAAGAGATAGAGGCCGCCTTCAGGAGGGAATCCACAATTGTTCTTGGGGCTACAGTTGTTGAGAAGCAGGCATCAGACAAAGATAAGTAGAACAAGAAGAAGTACATGGGACTCCCAAGGGCCTGGCTTGTCTTGATGGTAACAATGATAAGCAAGTTACCCAGTAATGTTCCCATGTAAAAGAACAGGAAAATAGCAAACACTATGTTTTTTCTCCTGGGGTCCTGTGTCAAGCCAAGAAGAATGACCCCAGTCACATTGATATTGAGCTGCATAGTTCATGAATGAGAAGAAAACCTTATCAAACGTGTCATCTGCAAAAAATATAGGAAGTAGTTTTACAACGTGGTGTGATGGATTATTTTAAACAACGATATTTTATTATCATAAAAATATTCCACTTATTGATTATTAGACTGTTGTTCCCACTCTCTGTCTGCAATTTCAATGTCTTTTTTTAGTTTCAGGAAACCTGATGAAATTGACAACTTCTCCACAGAACTTTCAGTCATAAACTTGCTGAATTTAGTATGGTTCTGATTAGTTTTGAAGTTTAATTAATGGAAAATGAAATGATACTTTATTGTTTCATATTAAAAAAAATTCTGGTGGCAATAACATATGTAATTTTTTTTCTCTATTGAGAATTATATGATAATCCTTGGCAGTGATGAGGTGAAGTTACCTAGCCTTAACAGTTTATAAAATTTTTATTTTCCATTTATGTTGCATATTTATTACCTATGTTTACAATTGATGCTATAGTCATTTTTAGTTATCATTCCTTGGAAGAAGAACAAGAAATACCAGTAACCTCCACAAAATCTGATAGTGTTTTCAAATAATCTTCATGGTATTTTATAAGTGTTCTGTATAAACAGAAAATAGTGTTCCTTGATAGTAACTACTAAATATCTCAATATCTAGTTTTCTTCTATTTCTGAACATCATACCTTAGGCAATATATATTCTCTGAAATTACATTCAAATAATAAGGTATTTCATATTATGTATAGGTATACAATTACATGCTAAACATCTTCATATATAGGATAATTTTTATCAAACACTACATATTTTTAACCATTTCATTGACTACATAACTTCTGTTAACTTTTACCATCAATCTATATACTGTTAATGTTTACAATGAGTTTATTTTCTTTATGCATTCATGAAATTAATGCAACTTATTTAAAATAAATTATAAATGAAAATAATTGTCTTAATGAAGTATTTATTTAATGACTGGTATGATCAATTTTGTCTAATCTCTTGATCATTTTCCATTCATTGACTTTTCTTAAAGCCACAGTCAAGAAAATTTCTGTATATAGACAGTTGAAAATTTACCATCTCCAGTCTTTCTCGCTCTCTTATATAAACTCAGTGTCTGTTGACATACTAACAATTCTTGATTGTTTCAAGTGCAATTTTTTATTGTATTTTGAATGTAATGATTTTTACCTATTACCGTTAGTGTCATTCAGATTACAAAGATATTTTCCCGTAGTTAATTTGTTGTGGATGTTTATATATCATAGATAGGAAATGGCAATTACGTTCATAATTTAGAAAGCTAACACAAAATCACAAACTGAAGCAAAAGTAAAATTGACATGTATCAAAATATTTTAATGAGTCTCCTAAATGATTCAGAAGGAAAGATCCCCATGTTCCATACAACACTATATAACATGAGACATTGACATCCACAAAAATGACTACCTTGACAATACAAGCTGAGATTATAATCCTGGATTCTTGAGGCGTGCAAAGAGAACATTAAGTAAGCTATATTCTTCTTTAACTGTTCAGTGAAATTTTGTTTGTTTTGTTTTGGGATTTTTGTTGTTTGTATTGTTTCTGTTTGGTTTTTATTTTTTAATACTTCTTTTGTTCTTTGTATGTGAACCATTGCTGTCTCCATATCTCTTCAAAAGTAGTAATAAATATAATACATCAGGTTTTCATCAGACATTACAATTTATCTCAATGTCTTTAGACAAATTGCACCAAATGCAATATATCTTGAAAAATCAACTGTACTTACCTCAACTTTTCAAACAAGATGGACAAACTTTCAGTTGGTTATGTTGGTCAAAAGTAATAGTGACCACATGCTATATAGGTGTTGCAGGTGATGGAGGAGATCTGAATAATAGCAAATGTGAAAAAGCAGAGAATAAAGAAGGGTGAAAATGAGTGTCTGGTGGCTCCTTCCATGGGTCTACATTGATTTAAAGAGACCCAGGTAGGAAGAATGTGCTTCCCCAGGAGGCTATCTTCAAGAATAATCAGTGCTGACCTTAATGATATGAGATTTGCTTCTTTCAGAAACTCACACACTAAACTTGACTTCTATTCATAGCTTACCATGAATTATAACCAGGTGTCCCAATTCCTTTAGCCTGTAAGAGCTTAAATTAAAGCATTATATAATAAATCCTCTTCAAGCCTCTCAAACCATATGACTTAATTTCATGATTCATACCATATCAACCAAAGAAACACTGGAAAATAACCTGGCCAGAGAAACAGAAACTGACACTATTCAATACCTGTAAGGTCTATTTTCTTAGCTAGTTTCCTCATTTGGGAAAAATTACTATGTACTCATTTTTTCTAAGGGTTGATAAGGTTGATAAGATAAAGGTTAAGATAAAGATAAATGTTGATAAGATAATACTTAAGTCCTGAAAGGAAGTGGAGAGTTAGTGATTATTAGCAATACCCCTATACATGTTATTTTTCCTTCAGCTTCATTACATATATTTTAAGCATCACCAGTGACATAGTTGGTCTGAACTTTATCTAGAAATTAGTCAAGCTCTTAAAGTACATTTTAGGTGCATGTCCACTGAGGGTGAAATCTTTCTAACTTCATTTTAGAAACATGAAGAAAATAATCATCCTATACTCTAATATACACTAATCCACAAGTATTGCACTTGCTCATCACAAAGCTGATACTTCCCAGAAGTTTTGTCAAGGTCATTACTCCCTAATATCCATTTCTCTAAATTTTAGTTAAGTGTATATTTTTTTTAAGTTTTTGGTATGCGTAGACAGATTTTGATCAGCCTAATCTCATTTGGCCACTTTACATGAAAATATATGAGAAATGTTGTCATAGTTTAACACTTCATGGAATAATAACAAATAATATATCAAATTAGCCCTTTTTCCCATACAATATTTCCCATACATACTAATTTCATTTTTATTAGCATATATTATATATCCTAATAATTTTATTGATAACTTCATTGATAGAAATGAATTCTACAATAGAATTTTCTTCTACAACATGAACTCTTTAAAGAAAAAGGCCAATCAGGTTTTTTTTTAATCTCTATATAAATTGTTACCAGTTTTACCAAGTGTTATTAAGTAAAAAATATTTTACCCAAAGCAGTACAAGTTTGTTCTGACACCACATATGAATTTTTAATAAGGAATTCACTGATTCTAGACAATTGCTTTTTTCCAAAGATAGTATTTTTTATTTATCATAACAGTAAATCTTTAAAAGTATACTGGGTTATTAAATTTTATGTTCTGCTCCATTGGCTAGTAGAGTATTTTAATCATATATTTATACAATGTATAGAAACATAGTAAAATATACATATTTACCACATCTGTAATAGTGTATCTCTGAACTCACAAATGCAGAAATAATATTTCTTACCTGTTAGAAGACTAGCTATATAAGTCTCATCAGCCCAATACCTTTTGATAGCAGCTTTCCAATAGGTTGTTGAAAGAAAAAAATTTATTTCTGCCCTCTAGAGGGAATATGCTAGCAAATAATGGTAGAAGACATTGACATTGTGGACAGCTTTGTCACCAGAAGTTTCCCTTCTTCAGCTAGTCAAAAACATTTCAAGGCTATAATGTGTCTAATTTGCATTATCTGATTAGACAGTTAGAACAACATTACAACATTAAATGAATCATTCTTAATTTCAGTAACAAGACTGAGCTAGGTTACAGAGGTGTCATTTTTAGCAAAGTTGCCAGAAGAGAAAAAACAGAAATATAGGAATAGATAGTGAAGCTGACACTAGCCAGCAAGAACGTAGAGATAGCAAATAATTAGGAAAAAAGAATTTGGATCATGAATCTCTGCTTCAATTAAGAAATGGCCTTCCAAAGCTGTGTAATGAAGCACAGGAGGGAGGAAGAAGTTGTATCTCCTATGGCGAACTTGCAAGCTATTTATAAACACTGTTAGCAAGGGAAAATGATGAAATCAAAAATCTGTTCTGCAGCCTATAGAAGTTGCCTTTCAAGATCTCAAAGTTGTTTAACTTCTCTTTGGATTAATATGAATAGAGCTCTAAATTTGAAAGTAGAGAAAATTCTTTCCATTTATTATAATAACACATGTCACTGAGAACAGACAATCCCTTCATTTTTCAAAATTATTCATTATAGATAAAAGAGTAAAAAAAAAAACTAAGAAACTTGAGATGGATTGAGTCAGAACATGGCAGAGGAAAAACAACTGAGTAAGATACCTACAGATATCCCCAACTTCTTGCAGGATGAATAAGTGGAGAAAAATTAGTTTTTCTAAGTTATAAATGAAGAAAATAGATAAGACCAGTAATGAGTTCTGTAAACAAAAAAAAATAGGCAAAGGATTGTCTTCAGAGAGACTATCTAAAGTGTCAAGACACACAGTTTAAGATTGTGGAAAAAGGAACTGGTAAGAAAAAGAAATGCATCTGAGGTGGAAGGAAAAAAGGAGGCCAACTTAGCAGTGAGAGCCTATAAGCAGCTGCATTGATCAGAGGGGCTTCTGAAGTATACACATTTTTATCACATCCAGAGAACAGCCATTCTTTCCAATTTTAAAAATGTTTACAAGTTCATCATGTTTATTTTCTACCTGTGAAATCAAGCTCAATATCTTTCAAATCCATTTATTTTTGTTTAGAAAACTGGCAATTTTAGTGAAGCAACATTAAAACTAGCTAACTAGCAATTTCAGTAAAAAGACATAATGAAAAACAATAAATGTCACTTTATTTTCTCAGACGGTAGGATAAGGTGAGAGTCATATACAAGCTGTGCAAATACACGGCTGAGGCAGGACCCAGAGAGCTCTGTGTTGTAACTATTCCTAGGAATTACACTGAAAATTTCTAACCTTTGTACAATCTAATCTATCAAGCTGACTGAGTCAATCTGGTTTATCTCAGCTTCTCACTGAATTGTTCTGCTTGGCCATACACTAACTTTGGTAATATGGCTCTTTCTCATTCTCTGGCACATTCTGTCTTCACCTGTATCTAGCACATCCTCTCTGCTAGTTCTCTTTGTCAAATGATTCTGGTAAAAACAGCCACACCATCTTTCTCCTTACACTAATCTTAAATATCCTCTCTTTCCTGTGCTGTTCTTGCGAGAGTAGTGCATATCCTATCTCTGACTCATTCTGTTAAATCTTTCCTAATTCATCACTTTGTCTACTCCTTAGGCACTGCTTTCAAAGATGGCTTCTTCCTACTACAAAATAACCTTATTTTCATCGTTTGAGAGCAAATATACGTACTAAAGGCATGTCTGTAGTCTTGTCAGATCATACTGTAACCCAGAGTATGTCTCCATTCCAGCTAGAACACATAGACCTAGAAGGACTTTGGATGTGATCCTTTGCTAAAACAGCCATGCTAGTGAATTAAAATTCATCTACAACCAAAATTTATAAAGCTTTCATATAATAATTCCCCACTAACCACATTTATATACACTTATCCTTTTGCCCACATTGCTAGTTCATGAAGTACAAAATGACATTTTATGTAAGAGAGACTGAAACTATAAAAGTTATACTGCTTTCTGCTGAGGTACAACTCGTCTATTGCCATGTGTAGGTGACCAACATATCACAAGCCATTAAGACAAAGGTTACTGTAATAACCTAAAGCATGCTTGGCCTGTAGCTATGACAATAAAATATCCATAATATATAGTGATATTCAGTTCTTGGTGATAGTAATAAGGTTAACATTAGAAGGAAAATGGAAGCTACCCAAGTTTCTGCATGCTAGTTGACTACTTTCTGAATAAAATTAGGTAGAAATTATAGTAAGAGAAATGGACATAAAAAAGATAGTGGTTTGTGCCTATCGGTCACTAAGCTAGATATAACTAACTAAACAGTAAAGAAGGAGAATATATTAATTCCAAAGATGTGGGGGAAAAAAGACCACCACACCAAATGTTCATGGCCAAATTAGTTAAAACAAACTTATTTATCCTTTTACATGGATTGTTTCCCCTTAAAGGGAGTATTCAAAATGGCATTGGATATAGGGAAGATAATGTTTTTATAGTGCAGAGGTAGAGGTTTTTTCCAAATGCGAAATTTGGCAGGCAAATAGACAGGTTTACTGAAGCATTTCTTAACAACCTTGGTAATAACCTCTTGTGAAACAAAGACATCAGTTTCAAACTTGTCATAACAAGGTAGTAATAACAGCAGGTGGTCATAACAGCAGGCAATTGTAATGAGCTTTTAAAACAAAGCCATGATTACTATTACTGGAACAGGCAGTGCTTAAAACATCTGTAATTAAGATTAGAGTTGGAGCATAACCCAATCCTTGAAAAGCAGACTCAATAATAATCATGATTAAACTTAGTTTGTCTTTACTATAGGATGCAGGCTGTTTTAACAGACTATGCTTAGCATGTTAATGAGCATACATCTATATGTATATGGACATAAAATACTTGCTTTCTCATCTCAGAAAATCATTGCATTTGGCATGGAAGAAAGGATTTCTTATCAGTTTTGCTGATCTCCATGACAGGGTATTATCATTACAACAAAAGAAGGTGAGGGGGCTGAGGTAATTAGAACTGCATGTAAATAATGCTTGTAATGTGCTAAGGCATTCAAGGAGAGATAACAGAGTAAAAGTATAAAAGAGGACTATCTAGGTCACAAATAAAAAAAAACACTGTGAGGACATATGACTGTGGTGGTCAGTGACAAAATGCTGGAAGTGATAGGTTCTAAGACATAATACTAAGTTAGGGTACATGGGGGGGCACAGGAAGAAAAGAACTTTCTACTTTGGTGTTTGAAGTATCTCACAATTTGGAACTGAAAATTGTGGCACAACTAATAAAATTTATTGTGAAGATTGTTGATATGTGGACAATAGTTTTAAAAATATTCTTTAGAGTAAAATGAGATGATTAAGGATGGGGCATCTATTGATCTTGTGTTCCTCAAGTTCCTTGAGAGCCTTTTTCCTCTCCTAGATATAATCGTATACTTTCCTGAGCACATCACCACCATGATTATGAGCTTAATGAGAGTCACATCATATAGCCAGGCTTTCTTTGAATTTGTCTATAGTAAGTTTTGGTGACTAAGCAAGGCCGGTAGCTTCAAAGGAGTACTTCAATGTTAATACTGTACATTTGAAGAACTCTTTTCTTAATTTTAAGCTAGCATTAAAAAATAACTGAACATTTCAGGGGCATTTCTGTACATTATTTGAATACTTTATACATGTGCTCCCCAATTTTTAGCTAAGCAAAGTCACCATGCCATGTGTCTACTATGTTTAAACCATGGTCATAGACTTTATATGCTTAAGGGTATACGTCTTAATTGGTCATGCTTAGAAGTAGATTTAAGCCCTTGTTGGTCAAAATGGAAATAAAATACAACAATAGAGGCTATTTGTTGTGTGCTACCTATTTTTGTCTGAAGACTCCATTATTTTTACACATTACCACATAAAATGAAACATTTCCACATTGGTTCAATAATGTCATAACTTTTATGGGTGAAGCATGCTATATTCTAATTGGAGTTTAGACCTACTCCACAGTAGGGAGTATGAGGGTAGCCCTGTGAGTCAGGACAAAAAAATAGAAATAATAAACTTGTGTGGAGTTGTCAAAGGTTGTGGCTAAGAGCCAACTTTTATTGTTTTGTTAAATACATGTGATAAGTATATCAAGTATCTTCCAAACTTTTGTGTTTATATTAATTAACTACTGCTGTCATCAACCTTGCTCATGAAGGAAAACGTCCTTATATAATATAAGGAATCAGATTTAATTGAGAGTATGAAGTAGATGAATCTTGTAATGGCCTGGAAGCCAAGTATTCAGAAAAGATACATACCCATATAAAATTATGAGATTCAAGGAACCTCTTGGAAGAGGTTAAGGTAAAATTTAAAAGCTAGAGGGAAGCATCAGAGTACTAGCTAATAGGATTTGGGTCAGGAAACAAGCATCGGCTATTATAAATTGGTGTTACTGTGCCAATATAGATAAGTATTGGTACACATTCATGGCAAGAAAAGAAACAAAACAATAATACCAGGGATTGTGGAACCATCACTATCATAAAAAATAAGCCAACATAAAAAATGAAATGACCAGAAATTAAATTTTATAAAGAACACAGAAAAGTAGAAAATTAATTCCAGTTCAATATTATTTTCAGTCTAATATCATGACATCATACTTTCTTCTCAAATTGCATATCTGAGAAAAGAAAATGAATAATAGCTTGATGTTTCTTCTTGTCGTTTGTTTTCCTGAATAGCAGTATTCTGATGATGTAGACAATTCTTGTGATTCATCCCTATAAATCATCAAATACCCCAAGTAACAAAGCATGTGTAGATTTATCAAACTAACATATACATACACAAGCACACACCTACAAAGTGTGCTTTACATTTAAAATTCCACTATTCCAAGGAAAGTTGCCAACCACACTGTGTCAAGCAAAAAGTATACACATAAATAATGGAAGAGCTCATTTTGTTTTGGAAGGGGAAAAATATTTTTCTTTATTATTCTAGATTTTTAAAAACTTGGATGCTTGAAGGAATGACTCAGATGAATGAGGAACTGACGTGACTGTAGGATTCTCTCACTTCCCACTTTCTACATGATTCTAAGAGAGGAATAGCTCAGTGTAGAATAAATTAAGGAATTCTGACCAAAGTAGAAGTAAATACATAAATAAAAGGAATTAAAACACTGAGCTGAGATAGAGAGTGCATAGCGACAATACTATATAACACATGAGAAAAATTGTTAAGTAGAACAGCAATATATCTCTTGTGTAGAAAATAAACAACTAAGGTTAACAGAGAAATGTGCAAAGGCT